GCCCAAGGATATGACACCAAAAGCTTCATCAAAACTCGTTGAATGCCCAAAACAGCGACACTATTTATTTTTGTCATAATTAAGTGCTATATTTTATCACAAACTGTATCAGAAAATTTATTTTGAATCAAATCTAATAAAAATTATCATGACATAACTATGTGAAGCCTCTCAGCATTGCATCTCTCATTAAAATCACTAAGATCAGAATCCATTGGACTATTTAGACTTTTTATTGAGAGTAATACGATTTGAGCGTTGTTGCGTCAAATAGCTGGTGACTGCTGGCAGTGTTGCCATACTGACATGTTAAACCTGTTAAACCTGTAAGCGTACTAGAGAATATTGTTGAGCGAACATGCAAACTATACGCCGTAACAGGTGGGGTCTTCAGCCGCATAAGCCGCAGCGTCAATTTTGATTGCATTCTCGTAGAACGTGAATGAGTATTACGCAGCTCTGGGGGAGGATTGCAAAATTCTGCTCCCCAACCTCGTAGGGGTTGAGGAGCAGAATTTTGCTCCTCAACCCCTACGGTGATGACGAGGCTATGTAACCCTGTAAGCGTACGATAAGGAATCTATTTAAAAAGTCACTGATAACAATCACTGCCTTCAAGTCCTTTCAGCCTTGTATAAAATCTGCATACCCAGTATCTATACCATCGAACAAATCTATGAATGAACTAGACTGGAAGCATTGATGAAGAATTCTATATCTGTGTGGAATCTGGTAAATTGGCGAACTGATTTTTTTTGTAGGATTCGAAAATCATTCAGATGTTTACAGGTGTTCTCGACAACGAGCAGCTAGGAAAGAGATGATTAGCCTTTTGTATTAGGTCGTTCCGAAAATAATGTCGCTTCTTTGAAATGGACGCCACATTTAATGGAATCAAAATTTTCAAAAGATCTTAGGAGCATTCGATGCAGCATTTCATCCTCTTTCTAATGGTTGTAATTTCATTGCATAATTTTCATTGAACTTTCGAAAAATTAAGAAAGTCTGCGACTCATGCTTTTTGCCATGGTCAAGTTCGGCAATTTTTTAAAATTTTTGCACCTATTCTCCGAAGAAGTACAAGTGGTTGGTAGAATAGAGCAAACCCTATAGGACACGAAGTAATTTTTTTCTTTTCCATAGCTTGCTTCCTAGAGTTTCTGGAATCAGTTTTAAAATGCCATCAAATTCCATAATTGGTCAACTCAAACCTCACAGAACAACAACCGGCAAGCAATTCGAGTGTCATTCGACGCAGCTTTTTCTCCTCTTTTTACCAGTTGTTTTTAGTTTCCGATTCATCAATTTTTTCGAGATGAAATTATCATAATTCAGGTTTTCCAGGGCGCCTCCGGCTGTACCCGGAATTTTCGAAAGCTAATCTGAAGCGGTAAACGCTCATCTGCTTCGTAAAATTAGTGTCAAACCATAATTCATCTTCGCAACTTTCAAAATCCGGAGGTTTATTGGTGTTTGATGCATTTGTGTCTGAGACGAGCCTGCTCAAATTCGATGGTTCCATCAAAAAATCTATACAGTAATTATGATGAGCTCTGGAAGGTAGAAAAAAGTTGTGCTGTTTTCTGTAGGGTTTGGCCTATCCGTCCATTACTTGGACTCCTTCCGAGGGTTGTTATAAAAATTTAGAAAAATTGTGAAACTTGACCTTCTCAAAAAGCATGTGTCGCAGATTCCGATAATTTTCCCAGAGGTTATTCAATTTTGTGCGGTAGTTATACAACCATTAGAAAGAGAATGAAATGCTGCATCGAATGCTACCAGAATCTCTTACACATCTTTGTTCCACAAGATAGGCGTGCGTTTGAAAAAAACGACATAACTTTCGGAACGACCTAATAATTCTTCTATCTATTGTATCTCGCCGAGCTTAGTATTAGGTTTCGGCTGAATTTTGCCGAACTCATTTGATAGATTAAAACTTACCTTGCAACTAAATAGGGCAAAAGAGACATTATTTGCTTGGATAAAAGCAAACAAAATAACAATAGACGCAATAATGCCATGTCTCTTTCCAAAAAATTTCACAAGAAAATTTCATTGCAAGAATAAAATGACTCCTTAATATCCTGCCTATAGTGAGTCATGACAAGACAATTTTCAAGTTTGGATTCTTTTGTCTACCAAATTGCTGTTAAAATGCAGTAGCTTTGGCTCAACAATGAATAACATGTTTGCACTTTTATCTCCACAGAAAAATGAACTAATATGACCACAGCAACCAGCATTTAACCTTGCTTTCTCAGTCCCAAAATCGATCTCCACACTCAGTATCTGAATCAATTTTGTCAAAGTGGATGAGGCACAGAAATGCCATGTGCATCTCGAAGAATTCTTCGCTGTGATTCATATCATTCAAGTTTTTTTGTATGTGCTGCAAAATTGAGTGAATTCGGATTTTGTCATGGATTGAAACTACTGTCAATAAGCACTACTGATTGCATACTAAGTAAGATGAAATTCGGAAGGGAGAAAGTCAGGCCAAGTGTTGCATAAAAGCGTATTTGTCAACGTCAAGTCCAGATTTTATCCTCCAACGCAGACCAGAAGCGAAAGTTCTCAGCAAGCATGCTCGTATGAAATCACTATCATAAGGTTTTGATCTCTTTGCACTTGTAGTAACTCTTATCGCACTCTGCGCTATTAGCCTGGAACACAATTCTTGCTCAAGAAGCTCAAAGAAATTTCAGTCAAAAATGCTTGAGTAATGGCTTTGATCTGCGTGATATTTCTTTTCGAAGCATATAACTATATATTAGGTTGTTGCAAAATTGATGTCCGTTTTGCAGAGTTGTACTTTGAAACCTAACGCACACCAGCATATAATGATATGGCAAGCGGGAATAAAATCATGCGCCAAAAAGCCGAGAGTTTTTTTTGAAAACCTTGTCTTTGAGAGATTACAACTCCCTTCAAGTTTTGTTCTTATGGCTGCTGATCAGCTTATTTTGTAGTCGCAAGCCAGTAGTATATGTGTGTATACAAAAAACTTCAACGAAGGGGACCTGCGAAAAGAAAAGGTAGAAACTCAAAATTGTTCACCTTTTCGAGCCTATTTGTGGTAGGTCAGAGAGTCCTAAATTATGAAAATTTGAGATTCTTTATACACCGAATAGCTAAGCTTTTCTGCAAAAATCGTAGGAAAGATGTCCTGACCTTAAGCTACAGAAATGAGCAAAGCTTCGGCGATTGCCTCAATCACGAAAAAACTCCCCGAAGTGTGCAGCGAGAATCTATTTTGAAGCATCGTTTTCTCAGTCCAGGTACACTCGCAAAATTTATCTAAACATGCAATAGGTAAACAATGTTCATCCCATACAGTGGCAATGTTTTCAAAAGAATTCGTTCATTTGCGCCTGAATTCTGGGCAAGGAAGTTAAAGAAACGAAATTTCGATTTTGACTAGCTGTGCGATATGCTGGTGTCTCACAGATGATATAGAAGCTCAATTTTACTACTGTTAGGATGTATAAGAGGAAGGCCTTCCAATAATGTGCGGAAACTATATCGAAAAAGAAATTTTGAAGGAAAAAATTGGAAAAGTAGGCTTAGAACGGACATTATTTTTGCAACAGCCTAAGACATTGGCTGCAAAAGAGCTAAAGGCTTTATGGTTGCCACTAAAAAATTGAATACAGACCAGCGTCTGAACCACTGCCAATTCGTCGAAAACTGACTGCATGAAATAGTCAATAGCTCAGGTTAATGCCCTGTTATGAGCAAAATCTTTCATAAGCCGTTTTCCCATCCCTCAAAGTAATACTTCAGCGTACGCCTCTAGTTTAAGAGATTCAAAACTCTCCAAGCTGAATGTTCCTATCGCTCGAGGCATCAGTACGGGATAATTCTTCTTATGGATATAAAAAAAACCATATCGATTACTTCAAAGATGGCACGGCTTTTCCCCTGACACGTATTCGCCATGGGGCGCCTTAACTATGTCGTAACCGCTTCGCAAAAGCATACCTACGTGAGCACTCCAGTCCGCATAGCTTGAGTGTAAACGGCTGCGACAATATACATAACGGTTAAGCATTCCCCTTTTTTGTTCGGAATAATTACGTTATATTCGATAATCTTATATATAAATCTTATATATAAAGCTGAAGTGTTTGTCTGTCTTTCTGTATGTACGTATGTTCCGAATAGAAAATTCCATTTCTGAACCGATTCGGACCAAACTTGTTCGGGACGGGGCGGGTGTCGCAGGCTTTTTCGTCATCGATCGATACGATTTTATCGATTTTATCGATTTTTTTTTGCAAATTTTGAGCTACGGGGCTGGATTTGGCATAGGGGGTAATCGAGCTTGCTGATAAGAATACAATATTAGCTTCTAAAATTATCCGCTACTTTTGGATTTTATTGATTTTTTGGAAAGTTTGAGAGTTTGAGCTACGGGGCTGGAATTCGGGGCAGGGGGGCACTTGAACATGGTGATTACTGACACAGCGGGAACAGGGAACTGGCATGTAGAAGTGAGCACAGGGAAAGCTTGTACAGGGATAGGGATGGGACTTATCATAGTGTATGGACAAGGTCGGGCGGAGCCGGGTAAGCCAGCTAGTTCTTAGCTAAACCTTGGAAATTCTTGTAATTTCAATTTTTTGCAGTCGAGTTCTTCTCGAAATTAGGGCAAACTCATCTAGCACTTTCGTATATGATGCACTTGTTGCGCAATTTCTCTGCGATCATTTAACAAATCAATTATTCAAACCCTGATATTAGTGAAGAATTTATAAAACTATATACTTTACATGATGTTACATGTTTATACACTTTACACAGGACAAGTGGCGTAATGGTATGAGGCGCCGCTAAAACCAAGTCGGAGGAAGGTTCGGTCCAGCCCCTGGCCAATCAAGCATTCTGGGGTCGGTAAGCTGGTACCAGAGTATTCAGGAGGGAGAAAAGCCCAGATTAAAAACGCTTAAAACTTTATTCTTTTTTCCTTCACATATGACGGAAATCTGCACGAAAACTTACAGTAGCAACGACAAACAAGTTGTTAATATAGCTAAGAAGAACGACGAGAGTGAGTAGCTTAAAGAAGGCGTGGTAGGCAATTTTGTCGGTGTCTTCACAGGAGGAGCAGTCGATGTGGTCGTTGTTATCGTGGAACTTGATGGCATAGTTATTGCTGTAGACGTTGTAAGTCTGTTCCGAGGAGTAGGCGAAGGTACTGGGATGTTAGTTGAAGTCTTAGAACTTGGGGCTGAGGTTGAGGATATACGTTTCACTGTCGAAGTTGGTGATTTCGTCGTTGTTTTTAAAGTTGTTGTGGAAGGTGACGTATACACTGGCACTGAAAATTTGAAGTTAGTAGGCTCAATGGAGCTCTATTGCTATATAAATTTGGCTTGGCAGGATAAAGGTTCATTTCACTTGGCCAGTTCAATTCAAATTTTGCTAATATTTTAGCCTCTTGGCCTCATTCAGAATTCCATCGTGATTTACTGCTTTATCGATAGCAAAGATTGGAAACATAAATAAACGAAAAATTATGGATCCTGGGTCCTGTCCGTTTTTGTAGAATCAAGAACATGAACAGGAATTCATCGAAGATGGCATTCCACGCATATTCTACACAAGCTTCATGAATAATTTGCTGTTGTATGACTACCGCAATTCTATATTAAAGAGGGCCCAAAATACATGTCATTTTCTAGCTAGCAATTCTAGGTCCATAAGTTTCTAGACACATCTTCTTCAAAATTGTGAATTGGTATCAGGGAGACGGTTTTTAAAATTTCCATTGAGTGGATGGGGGAGGGGGGGGGGGGATAAATCGGGTAACCATATTATGATGTCTATGAGCTTGAACTGCCCTTTCTTTGACTTTAAATTCGCACTGAAACGATGACTTTGCTTTGGCCTTGCTCACGAATTCAGCGTAAAACTCACTGTTCAAGCCTCCATAGTAACCATACATGGAGTTTTCATTTCGTCCAATTACGCAGTAGACGTAAGGGCCATCGGAAGTTGAGGAAATCACGTGGAATCCTCTTTTTGGTACGGTAAGGATAGCTGCTAAGTAATCCACGTTTTCTATCGTGTCATCAACTGGTAGCAAATCAAGTGCGAAGTCAACAATACTATATCCATCGAGACTCATGTGAAAGTAAAGGTTATTTGCGAAGACGACCTAAACTTACTCTCTTAAACTGTGCAGAAATGATTAAAGGCAGAGTCCGGACAAAATCGACTTGTCCCAGATTTTGATACGGTTTGACAAATCTCCCCTCAAATGAGCAATTCATCAGGTCCGTTCGGAAACCGACTTTTGAAGCCTTCAATACGGCCGGTTCACTAACTATTTCTGCACCCCATACACCGGACGAGCTTGCACATTCCGCGCCATTTCGCTGCACTAGGCTGTGCATGACGAAGGCGCAGTATTTTTGGTTGCGAACGCGGCTTTATTAGCAGCAGAGCGCATCAGGCGCAGGTTCTACAACAACGATGAAGATACGCGCGCACCCGCGTTGCGCCCGCTCAGCTAATACTGCTTCTGCACATTCGTCATGCATAGCCTATATATCTGTGAAAAACGTTTTATATGTATGAGGAACGCTTTTAGGTTGCATCGCAATAAACCGGCGCCATACTCGTCCGCGCTCATTAAAATAAGGTTCCCAAAACGGGTTTTCTTCACGACATTTGAAGTTGAGGAAATGAAGTTCATGAAAAGGCTCGAGATTGATTGACAAGTGCATGAAAGTCGAAAATTTGTCCTGACGCTGCCTTTGAATTTTCTTACCTCTACAGTATCGTTGTCGTTTTTCGTGAAAAAGCTCGAACTACCTCTGATGTACTGATTCGTCGACGGTACTGTAGTAATGAAAGTTCCCTGCCATCCCTGATCGAAACCATTGTCATAACGAACAACGTTGATTGGCGCAGTGCTAAACAAAGCTTACATACGTATAAAAGTAAATTGATCGTAAAGTAAATTTCCGCTCAGTAGGAGAAGGTTTTTTTTTTATGATGCTCGACACATGGAAAGTTTCACCTCTTGTATACTACTGTTGTGTTGGATTATCTGTAAGTTCATTATTCATTTGCTTGCTTGCTCAATAGGAATTCGCAAAATTCCGTGATTGCTTTGAATTTTGAAACTCCATAAGTCTTGTAGCCTAAGTCTGCACTAACTGTAACTCTCATCACTAGTTATTTCAATTCCAAATTTATGCCAGGATGCTGAAATTATCCTTTACAATAGAACTGAGTCCAGAATATTCTTCATAATTAACTTTTTAAATGGAATTATCATATCGTTCTTCTCCCGGAGAGAGAAGTTCTATTTTCTTGGGGTTCAAAACACATTAAGCTATTGGAAAAATTTGGAACATTTGCAATTTCATGTTGGCATTATAGAGGAGCTTGCACTCTATCATCATAGCAGCTGGAAGCTGATTCTTACTATAGACAAAGAAATTCTTACTAAACATCACTTGCGCAGAATGTTCAAGCTTAATTTGCTTTAAAAAATCACCTTTTTGAAATTTTTGGTACTTTCATGGGCTAAGATTGCTTAAAAAGCCGGGGTTTTGATAAATAAACAATTATTACAGATTTTACAAACTAGATCTATGTAATCGGAATTGAGTGTGATGTAGCCAAAGGTCCCGCCGCTGTTCTAGAATGGCAAAATAAAATTGTTAAAAATTGGGAATTTGACGTCATTGCTGGACTGCTCAGGAGCCCCTGCGCTAAAATGGCAGAAACAGCACTGAAGGAAAAAAATGTAGCCATTAGAAAGAGACTAAAAATTTGAATCGAGATACCTGAGTCGTTCGTCGATGATTGTTCTGTGAGTTGTAGCGAACTATCAAAGAGACCGACAACACTTTCGGGACAATCTGATATAATAATGAATTCAAAGAATCTGAGAAGTGAGAGTGACGGCAGTTATACTCAGTGCCAATCAAAGGAGAAGAAAGATGTCACATGTTTTCAGAAACGATAAGTTCAGTCAAAGTATCTCATAGCCTCTATATGCGTTTCTACGCACGGATAGACCAATTGTCAAATTTTTGCTTTTGTATGAATTTATTTATTCGCTCTAGATGCTCGAAATGTTACTCCAAAACGAAAACTTTGTGCATTCAAATTACTTTAGGTCACTCACTCTACATGCATATTTACGGCTTCCGGGAAAAACGGAAAGGAGAGAAGAGGTGTCTGCTCCGAATCAGAAAGCTGATATTGGTTCTTTAAAACCGTCATCTGTAAATGGAACATCACCAGACCAAGAAGATGCAGCAATTTTTTGTGTCTTTTTCTCTAAAATACCCTTTGATTCAACTGGCATGGCGGTTGGAAGGCGGGTCTTTGTGACTTAGTTGAGGCTAGTGAACCGAGAGCACGTGTGTGTGAGAGACGCAGACTGCGTCGCGGGCGCGAGCGGCCTTAATTAGGTCACAAATTCCCGCCTTCCAGCCGTCACGCCACTTGAATCAAAGGTTATATCGGAAATTCTTAAGAATGCTATTTGATAGCAAGGTCATAAGTATCATTTTGAGCATGAAAATCGAGCTCCGTAAGAAGAAGCCAAGGCACTGCGCGAATGATCAGGCGGAAAATGTCGACCTGGCTGTGAAAAATTATAATCTATGCATTCTTCCGCTCGACCTTAGCAACTGTCTGACAAGGGAAGCACGTTTAGTGAGAGTGGCTTTTTAAGATGAGATGTATACCATTTTGTAGAGCATAAAACGCTGATACTAAATCTGTTTTCCTCATCTGCGAAACCTTTATGGGCGAAGAACGAGCTTTTATTGGATCAAAAAATTGCATGTGCAAATAGACAAAAGTTGCGGTGTATTTTTTCTAGCGCTTTACTATAGCACTGATGGTTACCAGAGCTAATTACTTATTCAATCAATACTCTCGGATAGAAAAGTGTGTCACATTTGGTTGCTTTATTTAAGGGATAGGAAGATTTTAGTAACTTATTTCACCCTACATCTAATTTTTGCTCCAATTAACGTTCATAACTCCTCTTCCACAAATGTTCCGCAATTGAGGAAAGCTCGGAATTAGCTTTTCATGCTCTTTGATATTCTATACATCTCATTTAAAAAGGCCACATCGCTTGAAAAGGTTCCCTTGTGAGATCATTGATGGAATTATTGAGATTATTAGACTCGTAAGCGCAAAATTTGCACAATCTCAAAATTTGCGTTATTTCGTACAAAAAACTATCTCACAACCTTGCTTCAAGAAACTGTCTTTTTTTGAGCAATGAAAATGAGCAAAAATCAGAAAATGTAATAATTATCAAGTTTAACTCAAATACCATCTGTGATGAACAGTTCTGCGGAATATTTACGTAGAAACCCTGCGGAAACAGACTTATGAGCTCTCCGTAGAAACCATTGATATCCCTAACATAGCTTCGGACAAAGGTTGGATGATTTTCGGAAATGGGCGTTTCCGACTGGCATACTGGAATAGTCGATTGTATTTCCCAGTAAACATGTAGGTTAGGCTACGAAAATAAACATCACTGCAAAGATGTTAAGCTTACATGACTTTGGCATTGGTTGAGGCATAAATGCAGCATGATCGCAAGATCTGTAGTTTCCAGCACATGTAACACCTGCAAGAATCTAAAAGAAAGAATTTTCTTTGCAGAATAATTAAATTTTCACTTCATCTGGCTTCATATGGGTTTACTTCGAAAAGAGAGTAGCTTTTTGAACGTCGCTGCATGAAAATATTGATTTGGACGGATGTTCTGTCGCACCATTTTCAAAAACTCGTAGCTTCTAGGTTTCTCAACGGTTTTTTACCCTCCTTTTCTATCTGAAATGTTTGAGCAAATTAAAAGTTTTACAAAAAGTTATGATTTCTGAGAAAAACGCAAGCCATCAAAGTTGCTTTTTGTGTTGCTTGCTCAATAATCATAACTTTTTGCAGAGACGTTTAATCAGCTCAAACTTTGCTCGGTTAGAAGAAGCAGGTCAAGAAACCTATACTACTGACAGCCCCGTTTTTTTTGTAAGTTTCAAATTTTATGACCAAACTCAGGAAATTTAATTTGAGTGATATTTTCCTTATTTTCTATCTACGCGAATATGTGCATAATGGAAAACCTGCTACATGCAGCTATAAAGCCCATGTTTTCTTCCTCCAAACTAAATGCATGTTAATCTGATGAGAAATCAAGAAGCTATGAGTTTTTAAAAATGGTGCGACAGAACTTTCGTTCCAACCTAATATAATCGGGGCGTGACCTTTCTGATTTTCGCGCTTGAAGCAGAAGCTCCGCCTCCGGCACCATGCGTTTGGTCACTATAGGTCTTGACACGATACGGTGACTAGCGCAGGAATGGTCAGTGCTTTGAGTTGCACTTATACGTATTGTGGATTCTGTATACTTCCAACAAAAAACCCACCAATATTGGACCGTCTGCCTCTATTTTATAGGTCTTCGGTTCCGAATTTGGTGTTTTTGTCATGAAATATGTTGTTGGACCAGCGAATTTTGCCTGAAATCCAGTTTATCGTACGTCTTCTGCATTAAGGCAACTTACTGTGAATGCCAGTGAGTCGCTTCCAACTTTCAGTACTCCTTTGACGTCTCTCTCCGTAGGAATGATTGAGATATGCTGATTCTGATTTACATCACTCGAGGCTGGTGGAAGTGTGAATGCATAGACTTGACCATATTTAGCCCATGTTGTTGGAAGAACTGAATAAAGCTTTTGAACCTCAAAAGTAATCTAGAGCTTGGCATAGTTCTAACCAAAAATAAAACTAATGTAGAAGACTGGCTTAGAGCGAAGTATTGTGTGTTGTATATCAGGATCTCTTGAAAGTGAGGAAAATATGCAACTCATTCGGGAAGGTAGGATAAGTAAATACAGATACCTAGTTTTCTTTCAATCTGATAAATCTAGCATCCCCGCGAAAAGACGTAAATTTGTTATTTTCATGTATATTCATAGCATTGACGGCAACAGAATTTCTTTTCGGTAAAAAAAAACGGAAATATTTCTTGAAAAGGGTCGCATTGGCCAAGAATCCTTACAATTTTTGAGATGTTCAAAATTGCCATATTTGGGACTCCAAAATTCTGCGAAAAAGAGGGAATAGTAATTTTTCGGAAAGCCTCAAGACTACTGTGATTTTGCCAAAATTCATGGAATTACTCCAATAACTTGCAACTGAAACAACCGAGCAAAATTTCGAGACTCCGAAGGAACTTCCCCTTCCCCCTCCACCCCTTTTCAGCACTGGGCTAATGTTCTAAGTTGAGCTCATGGAGCATCAAAGTAGATGCTTTTTCCTCAAATGTTTATTGACTCAGCATGAAAATGTAGCAACTAGATTTGTCCAATTTTTTGTATATGATCAAACTTCTTTTGACGTACTTGCAACATTAACAATCAAGTTTTGTAAAAAAAATTTGCTTGCCTAGGTAAGAATCCTCCTGAAAAGTGGCATTATCATGATTGTTCGCAATCAAAGTGACTGGACACGAAGATTTGGCAGAGATCAGTTGCCATGGACCCCTGTCGTCCTGCATGCCTCCAGAATCGTACATCCAACCATACCAGGATGGTATAGAAACCTGCAAATTGGAGTTAAAGAGATTTACTCACACTTAAGCGTCGGCGCATAAATTCTTACCTCAATCATGTTCGTCGCTGGTACCTTGAATTGCTTTAATCCAGAACTACCGTCATAGTCTTCACTATACAATACCACCCGTAATTTGTGAAAAAAAATGGCGGCGGCACTTAACTTACGCGGCGCCGCCGAAGTTAGGTGACTTTTGCCGCGTCGCGCGGCAAAAGTCGGCGGAAAAGCGGCCAAAGTCACCTAACTTTGTCGCGCAACGCCTAACTTTTTATAAAAAAAGACCTTATCTTGATTCAAAATTTATGAATTCTATATCTAAGAGTACCATTCAACTCAGCTCGGCGAGGCGCATCTTCCAATTTACGGATGAGTACTCTGCGTTGATACCACTGCTTTACAATGCATAGCACAATGTGCTCGAATAAAGTAAGTATCAAAATGGTTATTTTATAATTCTTTTACTCTGTTAATCAGTAAAGGGACATAATTAGGTGTGTCATGTTTTTGAAAAAAAGTAGTCCTAAATTCACTTACTTTTATATCTTATATATAAAGCTGAATGTCTGTATGTATGTACGTATGTTCCGAATACAAAATTCCATTTCTGAACCGATCCGGACCAAACTTGGCACACATACACTTCGGGCCCCGGCGGGTGTCATAGGCTACTTTTCGTCATCTATCGATATCGATTTTATCGATTTTTTTTGCAAAATTTGAGCTACGGAGCTGGGAGTTGGCACAGGGGAGTAATCGAGCATGCTGATTACGAATATAATAATGACAGGGCCGGGCGGAGCCGGGTAAGTCAACTAGTTACCAATAAAAGCAAAAACGGAGACACTGGTCAAAGCTGGTAAATTGATGAGTACTCTGCGTTGATACCACTGCTT